CGTGTGAGAACTGGCATTATCGTGGTGCAAGATGATACGGCGTTTACAGTCATTTTTACGGAGTTTGTCAATAACTTCCGGCAAACAAATGGTCGTGTACCATTCACTATTCACGGTATAACGATTCTCCAAAGCAACAGTAGCCACGTGTCCAGTTTCATTAAAAAAAGAAGCAATCATCCGCTTAGAGGCACTTTGTACGCGCGCCACTTTGGATGGTTTCGGCTCATCTCGAAAGACCCATACGCTCGATTGCTGCTTTGTTTTGGGATCGTAACTATAAATCCATGTTTCGTCACCTGTTACTATATCCCACACTAAATTTGATGCTCCTTTGTTGAATCTGGTAAGCATGGCATTGCACCAAGTGACACGATCCGTTTTTTGAGCCTCAGTCAAATTGTGTGGGATACACTCACGGTATGTCACATGTCTGTCTGTTTTGATCATACGGCGCATAGCATCGATGTTTTTATTGTTCACAGCGGTGAACGGGCGACTATCACGAAATTCGTCACTGAGATTCACACGACCGCGTTTGAATTCTGCATACTAGCTATAAATAGTCGTCTTGCATGGTGCTTTATCGCCAAAAGCAGTTTAAAGCCGAGCAAAGCTCCTCTGAGCTGTTAATTTACACCTAAAGTCGTAGAAAATCATACTGCTAAAATTTTCACCAATTTCTAAAATGACGCCACAATGTAAAAACGAGCGACAATCAGATGAAACAAACTGTATACTACAGCAAAAGAGTTCCATTTTCAAATTTTGTAATTACTTTTCAAATATTGTTTATGTAAGTGTCCAGTTCCGGAAACTTATAGTGCGCCCTATGTATTGACAACATATATCATTGGGACCATTTAAGAAGTCATGAAAAATATTGTCTTATCTTACAATCTTGTTTAATATTGATACAAACAAAGTTAAACGTTAACTTATAATGTTGACATTAATTGAGGGTAAAAGTTGTGGAACCAAATTTAATTTTTATTAGTACCACGTGGGTTACATCACTTTTGCGCTGATAGCCTCAATGGAAGTTGTGACAAACAACTCCCTTATTAATATTTATTTAATATGTTAATATTAATAAGTACTAATATTACTCTGACTAGAGTGAGTTTGGTACGATTTGAAGGCACCTATGCTAAACAAATCTAGGATGATCCCTATGACAGGTCGTAAAAATCTATGCAATATAACCTTGCAACGATGTGCACTAATTTACGTATTTCATAAATATTTTTATAAGCTTCGCTTTGAAATGATTAGCTTTTGTTTTAAGTAAATACCTTAAAATTAAATTAAAATAATACAAAATTAATGTTTATATGTGAGAAAAGAGTGAGAACTTTTTTTCAAAAATTTTTACGATAGCGTGCAAACGTTACTTCATTACACTTCATTGGCTAGTGATGAGGTATGTCGTCGCCTTACTTTCTCAAACTCGTATCTTAAAGAACAAAGTTACTGAAATGCAAAAAATGGATTGTATATACAAATTTTGCAGGCGGATTTCACATCACATTCCTTTCATATTCACATACTGGATTTTACCTATTCTTAAAATAATTCATCCAAATTAACACCCTTGATAAGAAATTTAAAATAGTAAGTTTTGCCATCTCCTGAATAATCATCCTTTATAAGATATGAGTTTGAGAAAGTAACGCATCGATATCGATAAAAAGTTTTCGATAATTTAATGAATAAATGTATGGTGCGGGTATTCATTCTTAAATTATGAATTTTAATCTTAGTAATTTTAATCTTCTTTTTTTGAAACCTATGAATTAATAAAACAATAAAAAATAAAATAAAAATCATTTATTGCAGACAATATGCAGCCCATTTTGTTAGTACACTTAGGAGCTATCTATTCTACTGTTAGCACAAAAGTTGCAGAATAAAAATAAAATGAATGAAATGAATTGATTACATGATACATTACACCTGCTTGGTGTACCGAGCTCCCAGGACGTGAAGTTCGCTGAACCTAGCCAACAGATCGGAGTCCCACATATCCCCTATTATTGTTAGAACTCTGTTTGAGCTCTCTCGCACTCTACGCAGACGGGATGTCACCTTTTTTCGCATAAGTGCGTAAAAATCCTCTACACTAGCGTCGGCAAACATGTCCGACTCACTGCAATAGCGAGGAAGCAGGAAGAAGGAAGAAACAGAGTTAGGGCTCTGTTTGGGCACATTGTTATACATGATGCGTAGGGAATGTAGGCCTTCTGAGTACACCTGACCCATAGGCTGATTGTGTAGAATGTGTGGCAGTATGCTTTAAAAAGCGATATTTTGATCTCAGCTGTACAACGAGCAAACCTATGAGCCAGCATTCAGCAGCAAGCAGCCTAAGTATTCTGTGACTATGTGCCCAAGGTATTTAAATTGTTTTACACGGTTTAGTGGCACTTCATTAATAAGTAGAGGTAGAATATTGTCTGAATATTTACTGTTAGCTTTAAATAACATAAACTCACTTTTCTTTTCGTTGTACCTCAAACCATGTACAAGTGCATAACTCTCACAAACTTTTAGTAATATCCTCCGGCCACCAATCCACCCTTTTCTTTTTTTTTTTTTGACGGGAGTGAAATCTTTATGGATACCCCTGAGCCCAGGGAGACTCAGAGGTTATGTGGGGACTTTCCCTCCAGTCTGGAGGGCCTACCCCACTAAAACCCCCCCGGGTTTCCCTCTCGCCGGTTGAGTCGGCGCCGTGGGATCGGTGAACATTCACCACGACGCCGCCCGGCCGCCCTAGCTTGCGCCAGGGCTCCCGCGCCAACGGAGGGGCGAGTAGGTTGTCCTCCGACCCGCCCCCCAGACGAGTGAGGCCGTGCAATGCAGGCTCCGGAGTCCCTGTCCGGAGCCCGCTTCACCAATCCACCCTGCCTCTCCTTCCCCACCATACTACATTGGATTGATTACCATACCAGTATAAAAAAAACTGTTACAACATCCGGAGGACTGCCGGCGTCCCTTAGTTTTGCCCAAAGCTTATATGAAACTAAATCGAAAACCTTGGACAAATCCAAGAAGCAAGCATACACCGGAGAATGACTAAATAAGTAATATGGTTACTTGGTAACGGATACACGTTAATTTTCGACCCTAATTCCTTAACTCAGCACTTGAGGAGTTCCCAGAATTTGGTCTTAGTGGCGAACCGTAGTGGAGCCGTCCAAGGCGTCGTCATGTTACTACGCCATACTCCCATCTACGCTTTGAGATATAGCTATGAGCCTGCGCTCGATCTCCTGGTTTAAATACCCGGATGTTCAGTAATACGGATATTCAGGATTGTGGTTAGGTTAGGTTAGAAACCTCCACAGGTTTCTTCACCATTTCATGTAGCCTGATACTCACTTGCCAGTTAAATATAAGGTAATAAGGCATCGTTCTCGACGGGCCTGAGGTGTTTCTAAGTCGGGATTTCGCCGCAATGATCTTATCCATTCATCCATCAACATGTTTCAACTGCCTCCGTGGCCGAACGGTTACCATGCCGGACTGCCACGCAGAGGTCCCAGGTTCCATTCCCGGGCCGGGAGAAATATTATATATAATTATGTTCCGTTCCGTTCCGTTCCGCTCCGCTCCGTTCCGCTCCGCTCCGCTCCGTTCCGCTCCGCTCCGCTCCGTTCCGTTCCGCTACGCTACACTACAAAGTCAAAGGCAAAGATTATTTAATCCATAGGCATTTGCCTATGGATTACACTTGAAAACGTCACATTTAAGCTACTTACTGCTCGTTCACTACGCTGACCTCCCTGAGAAGAACGAGCAAGAAACTCTAAGGATTGCTCTTTTCAAATAAACTTAAATGCTATAGAATACACTTTGAATCAAATTTGTGTGGATTCTGGAGCCATGTTGTCTTTCCATACATCTTTATCTAACACGTAGTCTTCAATTTTGTAATATGATTTTTCGATCAAAATATTTTTAATGTAGTATTTAAACTTAGGAAATGATAAACTTAATACATGCTCCGGAATCTTATTGTAAAAACGTATAGAGTTCCCCATAAAAGAGTTGTTTACCTTAGTTAAACGAAATCGTGGTACTATGAGTTTGGACTTAGCTCTAAGGTTAATATTATCGATATCTTCTTTCTTATTGAAATTATGTATATTTTTACGGGCATATAAAATATTTGAGTAAATGTACTGTGATGCCACAGTCATGATACCAGTCTCCTCAAACTCTTCTCTGAGAGAAACCCGAGAGCCTAGACGGTACACAGAACGAATCGCTCGTTTTTGCAATACAAATATGGTTTGAATATCTGCCGCTTTACCCCACATGAGAATCCCGTAGGACATTATACTATGGAAGTAACTAAAGTAAACTAGTCTAGCAGTACTAACATCGGTAAGCTCACGTATTCTGCGGACTGCGCATGCAGCGGAGCTTAATCTGCTGGCCAGGGAAGATATATGTGGAAACCATTGAAGTTTACTGTCTAAGGTCACTCCCAAGAAGACTGCTTTATTAACAAGGTCTAACTTTTCTCCGTTTATTTCTATACTTGTGTAATGGTCAGCTCCAGTTGGTTTGAGTGAGCATGAGACTGGTTTGTGGGTGAGTTCTGGTTGACCCGGTGCTGCGTGTAAAATTTATAAGCGAGGATAAGGAAGGGCGCCTTACACACAACGAAAACAAGTTTCAAGTAGAAATAACTAGATGCTTTATTTTAAATTTACTATTGTTACATGTTACAATTAAATTTAAGGGGACAGTATGGAGAACTAGAATTTTGCTTCCCCGAGTTCACATTAGGAGCGTATAGATATGCTTACTGCTTTTATCAGTTACATAGAAAAGGTTAATTTAAAATATATTTAGAGCTAATACACTGCACTAAGAGTTTTTGAAAGTACATGAGTGACACATGGACACTTCACTTATACATCACTGATCTGGAGTTTACCGGATGTACATTTAAATTACATACCAGACCCGCTGCGAAGACAGCGTAGTTTCTACAGGTAACACAGTTATAAGTAGACACCGACCACCCGTGGAGTTCATGACACGTGGTCGGGCACAGCCGAACAAAAGTTACAGCAGATTTGTTTCAGCCATTCAGTTGATGGCGAGATTTGAAATTACAAGTACCAAAGATGAACATAAAAAAAACCCATGCGGTCCGGTGACACGGGTTTTACTTTTGGTACAGGGTTCGGAGACCCATAATTACGACATCTGGCTATTCCTGGTTTACCTTATAAAAGAAGGCATTCCCCCCATGCCCCCAATGGGATAAACCACCGTAGAAGATGTCAGAATCAGGAACACCTTGCGAGCCGACGTGTCGAACAGAAAAGATAAGCTTCCGCCGAATTCCTCCTGAGAAATGTTACCCGCGAACAACGTCACAGACAATCTATCGATTCATCTAGATGAAGCTCCCAAGTCTTATCACCTAAACCCGCTAGAATACATGGCGATTCCAGGTTTACGTATATTACTTTACAGAAAGTACTTGGCAACCTAAATGGCGGCGTTCGACATCGAAATATTAAAGAAAAGCTATAATTTACATGAAGCTCGACTACAGAAGTAAAATCGATCTAATTGGTACGCAGCACTAGTATTCTCCGTTACCATACAAGAAAAGTTAGCCAGGGTTGGTGTTTTCAAAAATATGTCAAACTAAAGGGTATTGATTTTATAGAAAAACGATATTGATTTTATAGAAAAATCGTTCACAAACAGGTAATATATATGTGAATGGTTTAAATAATAAATTACACCAACACTTAAGAGTTTCAATTAATTTACTAAATAAACTATAATGTCAAAGTGACATTTTGTACAAGAATGGTGAAAAATACCAAGGAGAAGATAAATTTTGTTTTTGTTTTGGTATTTAGGAGATCTACCAAAAAAAAATGTGTTACACTTGGACTAGTCGATTTTTAGTTAGGTAATTCAAATTTAACACATTTTGTCTTCTTGGCATTAAGCATTAAATTGTTAGCATTAAACCTATAAACTACCTTAGAGAGGGTACTGCATTGCACTGCACTGCACTCCACTCCACTCCACTCCACTCCACTGCACTGCACTGCACTGCACTGCACTACACTACACTACACTACACTACACTACACTACACTACACTACACTACA